CGACCAAAAGTGACACATCCTCCAGAGTAGGAGCCATCTCTCCCCATCGGAAATGAAACATGTGGGTCTCTGGCCTCCAACGGTCCACTAAGCAGCTCAGCAAGGACCCGTCGATGGCGATGTGTTTCTCACTCGGGATAGACTCAACCAGACGCGCGAAAGCTAAAAGGCCGGCCCATTTCAACCTTCATCAGAGAACATTTCAGTTAGTGTCTCCCATTAATATGCATGTCAGTGTGCAAATTAATAAAACACGTACCGTCGAAGCCATTCTGGGTGTATCATCCAGTTTTCTTTAGGAGTGCGAGTGACCAGAGGCTCAAGCTTGTGCTCATACCATATCGCACCATGATGACCCCTATCAATGTCCCCATTCAGCAACCACATTCCCGACATTCCTGCACATAAAAAAATCAGAACATAGTGCCACACTTAATAAAAATTCAGAACATAGTGCCACACTTAATAAAAATTCAGAACATAGTGCCACACTTAATATAAATTCAGAACATAGTGCCACATTTAATAAAAATTCAGAACGTAGTGCCACACTTAATACAAATTCAGAACATAGTGCCACACTTAATACAAATTCAGAACATAGTGTCACACTTAGTACAAATTCAGAACATAGTGTCACACTTAATACAAATTCAGAACATAGTGCCACACTTAATACAAATTCAGAACATACTACTGCTAGCTTAGCTTCTTCCTCTCGCCCTTACTCCTCTACTGCCTCTACCTCCTCTTCTTCCCCGGTTGCCTCGTCCACGCCCAGTGACGAAAGTGGGACAATTAGTGTCCCTATGGCCAAATTCATTGCATAGAATGCATTGCCTAGTCGGACCTCCTGCTTCAGATTCATCCGTATCATCCCGGATGCGCCGACAATGTCGTCTGCCTCTACTTGTACGCATATGCTCTGGGTTTGGAATGTAACGCCTTTCAGCGGGGTTGATGCTGTTGAAATTACCCATTGATCGAAAACCCATCAGCTCACCTGTCCAGGTATTGAGGACAGACTCTTTCAGAAAAAATGGAGACACAAACGATATTGCATCCATTCCAAGATGCCCGCAAGCAGCAAGTACATGTGAGCCAGGTAGGTGAAGAAATTTTGGTTTGTTGCATGTGCACTCATACGTTGCCAGGCTTCATTACCAATTTTCACCTCATGCGTCCTCAACTCATTTGCACATCCGAATTTGTTGTTGGCTAAGCGGACCTCAAACCTTCTTTCTTGATTACCGATGGTGACTACAGTGTGTGATCTAGCTTTTTGCATCTTGTTGTCCATGTACTTCGTGACTCTTTCACAGTACCGTGTATTCGGGTTGTTGAAGATATGTTGCTCTGCTTTTTGACGTCTATCTCTGAAATACTTGATGGTGCCATAGAAAATACCATCAACGATGGCTGTAAGTGGCAATGCCCGGTTTCCTCTGAGGACAAAGTTGTATGTTTCTGTGAGGTTTGTTGTCATGACACCGTACCGTGCTCCATGTGTGTCATGTAGCAAAGACCACCTCTCTAGAGGCTCGTGCTCTATCCACTGCTCGAAGGTTTTAATTGACCTCCCAAGTCTTCTCCTAGTACCAGGTGGGTCAAAGCCTGGCAGGTCACATAGCCCAACAGGCTCCTCCTCCACGCCGCTGTTCCTGTTGCCAACTGTGCAGCTACTGCTTCAACATGTGCCCTCACCGCTGCATCTCTTGCAGCTTTCCTGTCCCTCATGTGTCTCTGCGTGCACACATTAAGTCTGTCGCGTATCAAATTGTACTTCCATAACTAGTTCTGCTTGCAGAGTTTTTTGAACAGATTCATCAGGTTCTTATTTCTAAACTGCGAGAAGAAATTAGCCCCCAGATGGCCCATGCACCAACAGCTCTGCAAGTCCTGCCATGGAACTTGTTCCTCAGGACCTGGGTTTGTCAGTGTCCTTATCGCACTGAGTATACCTGCATGCCTGTCATGAAGGATGCACACATTGGGCTTCTCCTTCACAACTGATATTTTCAACTGCATGAAGAACCATGTCCAACTTTCAATGTTCTCACTCTCCACAAAAGCAAATGCGAGTGGGACGACTTGATTTTGGCCGTCTTGACCTATGGCTGTCAGGATCTGACCCTTGTACTTGCCTGTGAGAGAAGTACCGTCAAGACATATCACCGGTCGGCAATGCCTGAAAGCTTCAATGCATACACCGAGAGAGAAGAAGAGACGATGCAGCACCCTCACAGTTGGGAACTCTGGCATGAACATGTCTTGGATATCGATATAGGTGCCTGGATTCCGCTGCTGCAGGGTGTGGAGGAGCTGGACAATAGAGTCATATGCATCAAAATAAGAACCAAATCTCCTCTCAAGCGCCGCATGCTTAGCCCTCCAAGCCTTGCCATAAGAAATTCTATACTTGAAACTGGCGAAGACTTTTGTCTGGACTGCCTTCACTTCCATAGCTTTGCCCTGCACTATCTCATCGTAAAACAACCGAGCAATAAGCGTCGATGAAAGGTTGGCATGATCCTGAGGGATGCAGGGAATAAGACAACTGTGATTAACTAAGTCACTTATCACCCAACTTGTGCCATACTTAGGGAGAAAGCCGTGCACCCTGGCTGGACAATCTGCGTTCTTACATACCATTGTCAGGAATTTCTGACTGGACACCTGAGCTGTGAAAACCCTTTGCGTGGACATTGCCCAGTTAATTATTGCATCTTTCAGGGCTTGCTTGTTCGGATACATAGCACCTGTCGCAATATTGTTCTGGTGATATTGCCAGGCTGGATCATGTCCATCATTCACGGTCATTGCAGATGAGAAGTCATGATTCCACGATGCAGGATTCGGGACCTCCTCTGCATTTTCTTCTTCATCTGACTCGTCAGAATCATCGGCATGACCCCTTTCAACATCGTTGTCTTCTTCTTCCATCTGGTCCTGCATGTGCCCATCTACCTCGTCAGCGTCCACCTCGCCATTGTAATCACCATCGGCATTTCCTCCTTCTACCTGACTACTCTGCCCTGGTTCATAACCATAAGCATTTCCTCCTTCTACCTGACTGCTCTGTCCTTGTTCGTAACCATCATCTCCAACATTTGACATAGATAACTGCTTCCCTACACTGCTATGACCAGGATCGTAGCCACCCTCGCCTTCATGTGCAGTGACCTCCTTCACGACGGGAAGCACTAAAGCAACATGATTGCATCCCCTTCACAACCTTGTAACCACCGCACCCATTCGGAGTCTCGCTCTATCGGCCTCAAATAAAAGTAAATTATTGAACTTGACCGTGTCCACAATGCATGAACACCAACGGTGTGTGTTTCAGTATCAAGACCTAAACTTGCCGCAATCCATTCTTTCAACTGACTGACTGACCATGTTTGAGGTGCGCTCATTGGCACATCTATATGAGTAAATTCACTCAGATCTGCTCCCATCTCAGTTGTTTGGACAGTACCAGGACCATAGCAAAATCTGAAGTTCACTACATCGGACATCTCGGCTCACCTATTTTTTTCAACAACGAAATACAGGTATTAAGCAACAACTTAATATACCCCCACTAAGAAATATTAGACATGTCTATATATTAGCTAGCTATATATTACAGAATGTTAACGGAGCAAGTAATACCACTGAAAAAATAGCGCGCTATATCGTCGCTAATAGCACGCTATAGCATATAGAGAATTGTCTCGCTAAATAAATCAATGTACAATGCCTCGCTAATAGCACGTTATAGCGCGTTATAGCACTCTAATAGCATATTTTCAGGGGTGACGCTATTTTCTGTACCGCGCTATTTTTTTCATTGACTAATACTACTGGAGCAACTACAAATTTTTACACAACTAATTAGTTAACATCTAAATATATTTACGTATACTACCGGAGCAACTAACAATAATCACACACCTAATTTATTTCACATCGAAACATATTAACAAATACTACCGGAGCACCTACAAAAAATAAAATGTTGGTTGAAATATACCCCTGAAGCGTGCGTGCGAACGACGAACGACGGCCTTCAATCACCGGAATCGGAGCGGGAAACTCCACCAAACTGCCGGAGCTTCACCTCCACCGCGTCCACCACACTGCCCCAACTTCTCCACCACCACCTCCACCTCCACCGCCGCAACAAGCTCCACCAATGAGCTGGAAAAAAAACTCCACCTAAATGCTCACCATGACCGCCACGAGCTACCCCATCAGTAGATCGAGGTCTCTTTTGGTTGCCCTGACTGAGTAGAATCCATTCACGGTGCCAAATCCGCAAATAAATGGTTCATTTAGGTGTAGAAATTAGGGGCATTTTGGTGTACAGAGAGGAGAAGGAAAGAACAGAAGAAGAACCCTCGTGTGCGTGGGAGGAGGAAGAAGACGCAGGGAGCCTGCCGTGCCGCGCGAGGTGGGTCCACACCCTGTCGGCCCGCAGCTGGCCGATCGGCCCGCGGTAAGCCGACTGGGGCTCGCCCTGTGACCGCCGCGCCGATAGCTCCCTCTCTCCCCCCTCGCGACGTGGCCTGCCCAATCCGCGCGCGACACGTCGCAGGCTGGCCAGCTGTCGGCCAGCTACTGGCCGAGTGCACCCAGTCGGCCTGCTGTGGGCTGACTAGGCCCAGTCGGTCCGCAGCGGGCCGACGGTGTATTATTTCTGAAATTCTTTTTTAAGCATAATATTTATGCAAATTAATAAAAAATGTATTATTTTAAAAAAAATTAGCTGGAAAGTAGAAGATGGCTGCTCACATGAAGACGTGAGGTTTCAAAAATAATTTAGGAAGAAGTGAGAAAAAAAAAGGGTGCACAAAGGGTAATCAGAAATTTCCAGAAACAATTCGAACGCTGGATACACCGGGTACTTGAATAGAGTACAATAGGAATGATTACATATGTACCCAAACATTTAAATTATTGTGTTGTGAAAAATATAAATCACTGCACTATAATAACATCAGATGAGTTGTACGTCCCTACCCAGATCCAGATGACCCGGTCAGCGATGCTTTCCCAAGAGAAACGGCAACTTGTGACCATTCTCCTGTGTATGGGGCGTGCAGCATGACATATAAGAGCCCGACGACGCTGATGGCCATGACCAACACAATGAACAAGATGATGGGTCTCTTCCCCCACTTCCCCATGATGCCAAGTGCAAATGGGTATAGGAGCACAAGGATCCCCATGTTGAACACCATCCCGAGAAGCACATGTCGCGCCTCGTCTGTGAAGAAGCCCCATGTCACCGCCTTGCCTATTGCTGCCCCGACAGCCGCGACATTGACGATGATGACTGCAGTGGTCGGGATCAACAGCGGCACCCACCGCACTGTGTAGAGATCGGCGAACTTGTCGTTGGAGCAGGCCTCCGTCTGCTTGGATGTGAGCCTAAAGTATATCCCCTTTCCCGTGACGAGCTTCAACAACATGTACAGCACCGCTGTTGGGTACACGCCCGTCGCCCCGATCATGTAGAACTGCTCGTTGCGGAACCAGTCTAGCAAGGTGATCCCCGACCATCTCACCTCGAACACGCCGATCAAGTGCACCATCGCTATGATGGCGACGAGGTACGCCATGTACGTGCCGAACGGCCTCTGGATGTAGAGCTGCTCGGAGAAGAGCCACATGACCGGGAAGAAGTTGTAGGACAAGATGAACACCGTGACGATCGGGTACGTCGACATGTTGAGGTAGGCGATGCGCTGCAGAAGGTGGAGCCGGCGGCTGGCGATGAGGGCATTGCTGTGGGAGAAGAACACCTCAAGGGACCCGCCGGACCACCGAAGCACCTGGTAGAGGCGCTCGGTGAGGTTGATCGGAGCCGTTCCGCGAAACGCTGCCGGCTCCATGGAGCAGTACATGGAACGCCACCCTTGCCGGTGAATGCGGAATCCTGTCACCACGTCCTCCGTCGCGATGTTGTACACCCACCCGGCATCTCTCCCCCATGAGCTCCCGTCCTCGTAAGCGCATGTCATCAAGGTAGTTAGGTCCTTTCTGAGCCCCTCGTCGACCAGCACCGGGGTGATAGATCGATCTTGGATCGCGGCATCCGGCACCGAGTTGATGAAGGACGTCGAGTAACCAAACTCACCGGTCTTACGCACAAGTTTAGTGTTCTCTACTCTATAGCGTGGCGGCTCGATGCCATAGAGTGCGACACGACGGAACATGGTGCCGGTGCCGAGGTAGGTAGGCCCTTGGAGGCCGTTGAGCGCAAGCATGGTGCCGTCGAAGAAGACACGGTTGTGGTTGGCGTAGCGATCAGTTGGGTCGACGTCGTCAAACCGTTGCGGGAACTGGACGAACGCCGTGTTCTGACCGTCACAAGGATCGAGCATGAAGCACATAGGGGCACGGAGAGCTTGCGAATTGTTGATGTAGTGGTCACAGTCAAAGTTGATGACGAAGGGTGCGTTAGAGAGGAGCGCGGAGACACGGAGCATCACGTTCATGGCGCCTGCCTTCTTTTGGTTGTCATAACCAGGGCGCTTCTCTCGGGAGATGTAGACAAGCATGGGGAGTCTCGTGTCAACGTTGCTGAAGTCAAATGGATTGTCGGTGCTCGCGGGCGATCCAAGCTATGGTTGACAGCTTGGATGGTCTAGTAGGACCTGTCAAAAGAGCAAAGTAGTTCCAACAACTTTGTTGGTCAAATGAACTTGAGAAGTTTGCCAACTCACAGTAAACTAAATATCTATTTTATACACTAACAACGCACTAGTCAAAATATTTTTCGGAGAGGCGGAATTTTTACCTGAACAATTCCAGCATGTTGTCCTCTTCGGTGGTTCTCGGCTTGCTCAACCCATGTACCCGGCCATTGTGTCCCATCAGCCATCCAAGTGGCACTTACACCACCTTTGTTCTTCGAGTTGTAGGCATCAGATCGTTGGCGAATGGTGGTAGATAGGGAGTCTATTCTCACCTTGAACTCCTCGTATTCTCTGCGCACACGCCTACGTTCCCTCATGAACTCTCCTGCCATACCCCCAGCATACGAGTGTGTCTTGATTCCAAAATAGCTCTCGGGGGACCTTGGCTCGACACAATGCTTTCGGCAAAACGGGACCCACAACGCAGCAAAACTGGCAAGCTGGACCATCGCCTCGTAGTGCACTAACGTGCCACCGTCGTCCGAGAGGTAGCATGCGTAATTGTCGACCGGGTAGTCGGCAGCGAGGATGGAGAGGATGGTGGTTACGGTGTATAGGACGGGCTCATCCACGGGATCGACTGTGGTGACAAAGACGTCAATCCCTGGAAGGGTGGCATCGTCGTGTCGGTCTGCGAGGGCGGCGAGGTCCGGGACGCGCTTGATGGGGTTGAGCTTGGGGAGCTGGTTGAGGAGCCATGAAAAGCCAAACCAGACGTCAGCAGTCATAGATGCGGTCCAGAGCCACACACCGTCGTGATTCTTGTGCTCCACGCGCCACTTGAAGAAGACGACGACGGCGACCAAGCGCACGAGCATCAAGAACCTGTTATTACAGAAAGATAATATTAGTCACAAGTGCAGGATTGTGAAATCCTTCATTGAATCATAATTCTCAATTCATCCTATACATAGTGAGCGTTGGTTTCGCAAAGCTTTGTAAATGTTGACCAAATTCATGCAATTCCTCTGGTCCAAACCACGATACTTACTTTGGATGGGATTGGGTGGAGTAAAAGATTATCTATATGTTAAATATATAATGTATCGTATATATACCATACAAAAATATATTTCATTGATGAATTTTGATATTGATTTTGTATTCTAGACATGGACAACTGTTTCTACAAACTTGGTCAAAGTATGACCTTTAAAAAAAAAATCAAACGCGCACTATGTTTATTACGGGACAGAGGTATAGTAGTAGTGTGAAAACCAGCATGTGGAATGATCATCAACCTGTAAGGGTACAGGATGCTTTCCTTGACCTTCATGGTCCGGAACAGCAGAGGCCGGTTGCGGTCATCGCCGGACATGCCTCCCTCATCCGCGGCAACCCACACGTCGTCCTTTGCGCCAAGGCCCCGTTTGGCCACGGGGGAGTCCGCCGCGACAGAGACGGCAACGGCGTCGCCATCCGGGACGTCGACGCGGAGGGCGTTGGATCTGCGAGTGACTGCCGCGGCCATCGTGTAAGCCAAGGTGGCCGATGTTGGTGTACGCACGCACACGCCCCGATGCTCGTATGTTCGTGTCTTGGGGATGCGTGTCCGTTGGGGGCTTATATACCGCGTGGGCAGCCGCTTCCACATGGTCAAATGCTAGTGCTAGCTCCTCCTCGTTGAAGCACGGTTAGCTCCTCGTCGTTGTCGTCGTCGTCGTTGCTATGATAAACCATCGGCCGCCACTTCGGCAGTTCCGCATGGTCAACTGCGGCAAGGAAAGGATCGTATTCTGAGGTCCGGCCGATCAAATACAACCGGCCGGCGGAAGCTCACCTGCTGCTACTTATAAGCAAAAGTATATTTCATGTCTACATCGATCGTTAGAGAAGGCGTGTATGCTTGCACTAGTAAGAGTATATCAAGTGAAGATGTGGTGAAAAGGACGTAGGGAAAGGTACGGGAGAACATAATGTTTTGAATGTGTGTGCGCATGAATCAGCCGGCGACAGGTCTATGGATGGATGCTCTACCGCTGGGCATGACCGCTTTACTTTCCTCAATCAGCACTTGTTCGCTTTGCTCGGCTCACATATTATTTTTGAGATTGTTTAAAAAGGGTGCGTCTGCGCTCTTTCCTCTCCCCGCTTTCCTTTTTCTTTCTCTTCAGCGTCTGTATCCTCGTGTGGATAGTCAAGTTGGCCGGTGTTGTCTTGTGTGGGCTGTTTCGACTGTTTTAGCCCGGTTTTCGATATATTAATTGGCAACTCTCCTCTTCTTTTTAATGAATCGAGATCCTCTGGAGCCGACTTTAAAAAAAGGCAATGCTTCTCCCACACCCCCACTTTCCAGTGACAAAGGGTCTGGAAATAGTAGTGGCCCACATGATGCCTTTCCAACATGGGGATCCAAAACCTGGATTAGCCAAGAGTGTATTTAATAGTATCTAGCAAAAAATTTCAATCACTGGGTCAACTGTCAAAATAACTTTTACTCCATGAGGCAATGAGGGTCAAATTAAAATCCCTAAGATTTGGTACTCGCGTACCTCCGAAAGATTTCTTCTTGGACACAAGCCCCAAGATTTTTTTTCAAAACTATGTTATTTTTTGTAGCAATTTCAGAAACTATAGCATAGAATGAAAAAAACGCAAAACTATTAGCCCGTCGGCCAGAAGTGGGCTGAAAAGGCAGTTTTCGGCCAGGGTGTGGCCGAAGTAGGCTTTTCGGCCGCGCTTGGGCCGAAAACTCGCTGTTGGCGGGGGCCCGGCCGAAAATAGTAGCTTCGGCTGCTAGGCGGCCGAACTGGGCCGTTTTCGGCCCACCGGTGACCGAAGCTGGCCTTTTCGGCCAGGCTTCGACCGAAGAGGTTTTCGGCCAGGTCTAGGCCGAAAAGGTGCGGATATGCACCGGTTCGCCCCTGCGCTGCTGTTCTTCGTTTCCTTTTCTCTCTCTCTCAGTTCTTCTCTGTAGAACTCCCCCCGGTGCCGATCTTCTCCATTTGCCACACATTTGCAAATCCAACCCACAGAATCGGTAGATCATAGCAATCTCCACCGGCCTACGGTGTTATTTTTTGCTATGGGATAGTTTTTGATGTGTTTGGGGAGGAGCAGCCATGGTGGGGAGGAGGAGCCATGGTGGAGAGGAGGACGGGTAGTAGGTGGTGGTGACTAGTAGCAGCAGCTGCAGAGGAGGAGGTGGTGAGGAGGAGGAGCAGGTTGGGGGCTGACCGGAGTTGAACCTCCGGCCGTCGGGGGCGGCGTTGTCTTTCTCCGGTGGTGCAAGTACTTCGCGAGGTGGCCGGTGCCGCTGAGTCAAAGAGAGAAGCAAGAAGCGGACACACACTTCGAAGGTACAATCACGTCGTCACAAATATTATGTAAATATTAGCGCATAGTTCGTGTAGCGGATAATATTAGTGTTCGTTGTGAATTTCAGTGTTAATTTAATTTAGGAGGCATTTTAGCGCATAGTTCGTGTAGCGAATAATATTAGTGTATATTGTGAATTTTAATGTTAATATATTTTTGGAGGCATTTTAACGCATAGTTCGTGTAGCGGATAATATTAGTGTATATTGTGATTAATATAGTTTAGTTAGTGTATATAAGTCATATTATGAATTTTAGTGTTAATATATTTTTGGAGGCATTTTAGCGCATAGTTTGTTGTGATTAATGAGAAGATGGCAATGTCTGACAGGTGAAAATGTCTGAATCAGTAAATCTAAATGTTTACTACGGCGCTGGTAATGTTCGATATAATGAGTTGGGGGTTGATCTTAGCGAGTTTAAAAATGGCGTTATGACACTAGCTGACCCGGACAGACTGGACATTAGACAGTTGAAGTACTGGTTGACAACTAGTTTCGGTCTGGATCCTGAAGTATGTTCCGTCAGTATTCATGCATTATGGACCAAATCTTGTAAAAATGTCAAGTGGGAGTTGATGTCGGTAGATAGGAGCCAGCATTGGTTGTCCCTGTTAAGACGCTGCCGAGACCGAAGAATCCACCCATATGCACTTGTGCAACCTGTGCCGAACGAGGAGAATACCGTACAACTCCACAGGGGGTATGAACCCGGCCAAGGCAGTGAAGTGGCTAACGAGATTGTTTTATCCGGGTCACAGCCACAAGATGTGGATGCTAGCCAACCGGAGAAAGAGTCAGACTACGTGCCACACAATGTTTGTGGTCCTGATACTGGGCAGAGTAGCCAGTCGATAATATTAGCTGTTTCTGGTTTTGCTGATGGGGATGAGGAAGGGGATGAAATGCAGAGGGTGATGGAGGAAGAGGACGAGGATGGATTGGTGGAGGAACTGGATTCTGAAAATTCTGAGGATGAAGTTGAGGTACCGATTCCTTCTGCATGGGAGCAGGACATATCCACCGTCCTTACGGTGAACGATGGCCATGAGACTCCATGGCAGTATAATCTGAACCAAGTACAAATAGGGGCTATGTTTGATACAAAGAAAAAATTGAAGTATGTGGTGATAAAGTGGGCTATGTCTACGCAGAGGGTTTTCAAGACACACATATCAAGTCCAACAAACTATGCCGTGAAATGTGTTGTAACAGGTTGTCTTGGGAAGGTGCACGGTCACGTGCCGAAGTATGACATCCACTGGGTTGTCACCATTGTCGTCCCACATAATTGTGTGAGGACGAACCTGCTGGTGAAGCATCCGAACCTAACTTCAAGTCTCATTGCGCAACTCATGTATACTGAGATAGTAGAGAAGAAATATATGGAAGCAAAACACATCCAGACAGCAGTGAAGGTCAGATGGAATTATGTCATTGCTTATGGGAAGGCTTGGAGGGCTAAGCAGAAGGCTATGGAGGAAAGGTTTGGGACGTTCTTCGACTCATATGATAATGTTGTCCGTCTCCTGGGCATACTAAAGG